TTAAATTTTTTGATCGAGCATTTGCCTTTGCTTTTGGAGGATGTCAACCTGCAAAGTTGGATGCATATGTACTTCCAACATGACGGCGCACCTGCGCATTATCATAATCGTGTGCGTAACTATTTGGACACCTAGAGTAACAATCCTTGGATCGATCGTGATGGGCCTATATCTTGGCCTCCTAGATCACCAGATATGACACCGATGGACTTTTTCTATAGGGCTACGTTAAGCAAGAGGTTTATAGATATCCACCATCTACCCCGGAAAATATGAACGAAAGGATTAAGGATGCTTTTCTGAACATAAGGGCACATGCTGAGGGATGTGCAAAGGTCATTTATCCAAAGACTACGGCTGTGTATTCAACATGGTGGAGATATTTTCGAGCAGTTTTTGTAGATTAGGTCTTGAGTAGTGATAATTGTTTATTTATGTTGATGTTATAGCTGTTTTTCTCTATTACGCTTGAAGCTGACTGTTATTAGTTTTTACGTCAAATCTGTAGTGGCAGCATGGAACTAGCCCACTGTTTGTCTTTTGTTTCCATGGATGGTGTGATTTTTTTCCCTTAATTTTGGTGTGTTTTTCTATTAAAAGATTAATAACTAATGATTTTATCTGAATCAAACCTCATACCAAAAAAAAAGCTTATAAAAAAATTGAATCCAAACTCGCATCTACAAAAAGAAAATGATTGGAGAGAAAAAAATAACACACGAAGTCCACAACAAAAACCAACCTACACATTGTAGTATAAAATGGCTAGAAGACCTCGAATTTTCAAGGAGACATCTAACCACAACACCACGCGGCCGGTTATAACCACTTGCTGTGGTACTTCAAGCCCAAAGGATCTACATTTTCTTTTTGTAGATCCTTTGGGCTGCTAAAAATGTTTCGGTAGACTATTCACTGACTAACTCTATATGTACCGCTTTTGTAACACACAATGTATTAAGTTGGCTAACAGTAAAGCCGCACACAATTCTAATCTGGGCACTGTGATCGTCTTAAGAGGTGATACCTTCAGTTTTAGAACACAGCACTCTCACATACACATTACGTCATATTCACTCCTCACTTATATGCATGCACCATAAGCCTCTAATGATGCATCAGCAAACCCATGCATTTCCACCCTGGTTGGGTTATCACACAAAACATGACGAGGAATTTGCACATAATTGACCTGTTCGAGCTGCTCTCTAAATCGTTTCCTCCTTGTATCTAGGTCTGCAGGAAGGGATTCATCTTACTGGATTTTGCATAATATCATAAGTTTGGCTAGGATCACGCATGGCCCAAGCAACCCTATAAGGTCAAAGATTTGGGCTATTTCAGATAATGGTCCATTAAGTCACTTTCTTAGAAAATTCGGTATTGATATTGAACATCAAGGTATCTTCTTGACCTGCCCAGTATAAACCAAGTCTTTTTGTCAGCTTCACCAAAGGTTATAGAATTTGGGCCAGTTGAATTACTAAAATGTTGAAGGATTTATGTTTTATTTGAACCCTACTTCTGAAGCATAAAACACGCTATGCGAAGTGTTTCCTGAACTTGGGTACACGATTATATAGCTTCCTCAATGGTATTTGTTCCTGTGAGCACATCATCCGTGATTTATCACTTCGGATGCTGCTGCGAAGCGGTTTCACTCTCTAATGCGAGTTGCTTCAAGTATCTGATTGCCAGGAATGCAGGTGAGGACGTTCCGTAGGTTACAGTTTGTAACTCATAGGTGCAAAGCTCTTCTGTGGGCTCATCCCTCCACAGGATTCTCTAAACCTGCGTTGGCTAGGTTCAATTAATATTTGGCGATACATCTTCACAATATCCGCCCCAATTACTACTGCATGCTGCCTGAATCTAAGCAATATGAAAACAAGATCTTGTAATACAGGACTGATGTCGTTCCAAGAAACACCACTATCTGATTCACTGAACCATCGAGCACCACTCGTAGCTTAGTTGTGGGGCTATTTTCGTTCGTCATTGCATGGTGAGGAAAGTAATAAGCATTTTTCTCATTATTTGGATTATGCACCAGTTGCGTATACCCAAAATCACAATATTCCTTGAGAAAGTCCGTGTATTTTTGCTTAAGGGCAGGCTTTTTTGATAGTAGTTTACATTCCAACGATAGGAAGCGCCCTTCCGCTGTATCCAAAGAGTCCCCAGCGGGGTTTTTCTTAACGGGAATTTGCACAATGATTCTTCCATTCTCATCCCTGCAAGTTGTGGCTTTAAATATTTTTTCACATTGCTTGTCCTCATCAGACCAGACTGGGTCTTGTATATGAGCGTCATTGATTTCAAAAAATTTGGCAATCTGAGTATCTATATCTGATGTTACACCACCAGTAAAGTGCATTGATAAAGCAGAGCCTACCCTGTTACACATCACATCTACTCCAACAACCCATCGCTATTATGATTTTTTGAAGAGTTGGCAGATTTGCACCTAAGCGGATTTGTCCTTTGCACTGTAGGTTCAAGTATACAGCACTGCCAATAAGGAGATCAATAATAGCCGGTTTTGCAAATTTGAGATCTGGACAATCGAATATTCTTAGGGATATGCCATGACGCTGTATTCACTTGATTGACAGGACACGTACCGCTTATGTAAGGTATCACTAAACACTGTAATTGTAGCTCAAAATCACTATGACACGACTTTAGTTTAACACCGCACAGATATTTCAGATAGGATAACCGTACTGAAGGTAGGTTTGACTTCTGAATGCCCATTTTTTCACAACACTCACTAGTAATCAAAAGATTTTGGCTGCCACTGTCCAACAAAGCACGACACACTACAGTTACCCCCCTGTCATTAAGAATTTCTACCAATGCTGTTGTGAACAAAACCACTAAACTGTACTCACATTTTAGATCAGACAGTGTCTTCGAAGCCCCGCGTTTCAGGTGTATGATTATTGGTTTGCACTGTTTCAACCTGTATAGTTTATGATAGTGCAGTGATAATAATAAAATGCATTTTATTTGCCTGGCGAGGATTCAGCTAGCAGCTGTTCTTACTCCCTAACCAGGGCACCAATTGCTTACAAGCACCTTTACAATAAAATTTAATAATCTATAAGAGTGTTAGAAGGAAAAAAAACAAGAGTCTGTTTACAGTTATATATAGGCCATCTCTAAATATGAGCTCCTTGACTTGTCCTTTAAATCTACTAAGTGGTAGCTGCCTGACTGAAAGCGGTATTTTATTATACAATGCAACTCCTATATAAGAAAACGATTTTTTAAAATTATATGTATTGTGAGCAGGAATATCCGATGTATGATTGACAAATCTAAGATTGGCATTATGATATTGATTACGCATAGATAATTTATCTTTTAAGTAGGCGTTTGTTACAAAGAACGGAATGCACCAAACAGCACAGATGTACCATCCACCTTTTTCTCATAGTTAACCATGGAATACGCGTCAAATATGGTGATATACTTTCTCGTCGGGGGACACCTACTGCATAGCGGACACATGCATTTTGAATCTTTTGCAACCTGTAGGATTCATTTTGTATCAGGCAAGGACCAAACACAGAATCAGCATATTCTACTTTGCTTAGAATCAACGAATTAGTTAACCTAACTTTGGCGGATTCAGAAAGTATGGGTCTGTAACTATATATGCTTTTCAAGGCACTAAAGGAGCTTTTTACAATTTTTGTGACGTTTTGTTTCTTTTTACACTTTCTATAACCACTACTACGACATACATTTAAATTGTCCCCCTCTTAGATAATTGAAACACAAATTTATGCATTTTATATGTTATATGTTAGCCTCTGAGGGTTTATTAAATTCACTACAGTGTTGAATAAAATGGCCTTCTTTACAAAAGACCTGATTTGTTACCGAGTATGATTGATTTACTCACTTTTCTGTTTTTGCTCTTTTAATTCGCTTTTTTTTAACAAATCATCCTCTTGTCTTGAGAACTGTAAAAATCATTTAACATTGGCATGCTCCAACTTTCACTGGCATCACTAGCTACACTTTATTCATCCATGTGATTGTTATATGAACATTTGTCTTTTTTCTCCTCCCACTCCATAGTAGTTTTTTATTTGTATATTTTTTGGGCAAACATGTATATAAGCAACACATCCCATGATTCATTGGGAAGACTAGCGAGCTTAGGGATTGTAAGTGTTTGAGAATATTGTTAACCATTTTCCGAAGTTCTCCTGCTGACTCATTTGCTATACAGTTTAAGGTCAATAGTGTTTTTAAATGGTTCTGTATCAGTAATGGCTTATTATCATAGCGGCTGAGTAGTGTTTTCCATGCCATTCGATAGTTTTCACCACGAAAGATCAATACTACGTATCACCTGGGCAGCTGCCCTCTCCAGTGCAGAGCGCTCACACTTTAATTCAATTACATTTTGAACTTCATCAAACTCACTATGTAGTTTCGTCAAGTTTTCGAGTCTGTTTTTAATTTCCAAAATGATTTCACTCGGTATGGGCTGATACTAAATCAGACTTAATTGCTCCAAAACGTTTTTTAAACAAGGTTTGCATTGCTTGCCTTTTATATTACCACGATTTTTGATTAGATGTCCCACTTCAGGATTTTCCAATTGTTGGAGACTCATTTTGTATCAAAAGTGCCATCTCAATTACTCAAGTAAAAGAAATAGAGAATAAAAATGAAATGATTCCCTGGATATATTCCGTTTTCTGGTATTTCCTTCTTCCTGGTTACATCTCACAACGTCGTGTCAGGCCCACCACAGCCAGACCCTGTGCGTTTCGAGTCGTCGCTGCGCCTCACCGTGCGCCAGACAAGGCATCTTTCACGTGCTCTCGGCGTGCGCCGGCTGCTGGTTTCCCCTTGCGCACGTCCTTCTCATCTTTACACTTGCTCGATATAAGATGTTTTATAATTTTTTGTTGGTGCAACTGTTTTATGATAAGAATTAGGAAGTTTAATCAAAAAGTAATACCTGTCTTTTGCAGAACGCTTTTGAGGTGGAGTTTTGAACCCGTGAGTGGAGCTGAATTATTATTGTATATTTGTGAAGCTAACATTGGGGCAGTACAACGACTTGTTAGTCAAGGAAGAGATTATAAGTATGGTGTGGACGTTGAAGATCCTCAGAGAATACCTCGCGGTCCGTACTTCATCAAGCAGCCGACTGACGCTATTTTTGATACATCGAAAAGAAAGCTATACAATGACATTACAATCAGGTAATGAGTTTACATTACAAATTCTACTACCTATAGGGCAATCTATTTTGCAAATTGAATTTTCTACGTTGAAATCCTATATATTTATTTTCTGTTTCTCTGTTATATTCAGAATGACAAATGTTATCACTGATTTACTGTGGATATCTACTAAAAATGATACACTACGTTCCCCTTTAGTCTTTAGTTTCTTGTCTTTCGCAACAGCGGATAGAGGATAGTTGCTCAGCTTTCGTTCGTTGTCCTACCTGAGACCAAGCCTAGACCATGCTGATGAGTTTGCAGTCAGCCCGAAAAAGCTGTCCGTGATTGACCATCTGTGGGTGGACGAACCAAAGCTATATTGCTAGTTTGTTCAATGGCGAGCAGACGTAAGGTTTGTTCTTACAGTGGTCGCTGACACTGTCTGGGAACTGGCCATATGAATTCCGTCTAAATAGCGTAGCAGAGTGAACGGAATTTGGGTGGCGGTATCTTGGACACGGTCACTCTTAGGTTGGTGATTGCTGTACGAAAAGGACTCTTATCACTGCCTGAATCGGCGGCATCTAGCGGCCATGGTGGTGACTCGGCTGCCAAATATGAACTAACAGTGGTCGATTTTGGTAATAGATGGTACTTTGTAATGTTTTCTTTTGATAGACCGTATTTGTGTTGCTTATTAGAGGCATATGGAATCAAAATCATATTTTCCAAATAATTCGGAATGGATAGATCACGATTTTTTTCTATGACAATAGGGATACTCCATGAAGAATCCTCACATACCTAGAGCTTTAGTAATTGATAATAAATAAAATTACCCAATTCAACTTATGCAAAAAAGAAAAAATATACCAAATATCCAGGGTGAGCTATTAGTGAAAGTTGAATGCAGAAATTGTATTAAACATAATGGTCCCAACTTGGAACATATATTTTTGAATCGACAGGATGATTCATAGATATACTAAGTGACATATAAATCCGAACACCCAGTTTAAATGGTTTTATTTTAATAAAATTTTGTATAAGTACTTAATGAAAATGAAATGATATAATATAATGAAAATGATAAAAATTTCAAAATGATTGCACTGCTTTAAAGCCCTTTGACCTTTAATAATGTGTGGATGCACCCTGATGTGCTACGCATTCTCCAACGCGCCTAGGCATGCTTCTGATCAGGTGGTCCTCATTCCAGGCAACCACCAACTCCTCTCGAAGTGCTTCTAGAGTCTGAGGAGGACGTTGCAAATTGAGCAATCTCCTACCCATCATATCTCACACGTGCTCAATTGGGGATAAGTCGGGAGATCTTGGTGGCCATGGTAACAATGTGACATCATTATGTTGAAAGAAGTCTATTGTGACTCTTGCAACATGTGGTCGGGCATTATCTTGTTGGAAAGTTGGATCTGCCAGGGTGTCAAGATAGGGTAAAAGATGGGGTTCTAGAACTTCGTGGATATAACGCTACGTGTTCATGTTACCTCTGATGAAGATTAAAGGTGACCTGGAACCATAAGCTATAGCACCCCAAACCATAACTCCAACAGTGTGATGAACATGTCTTTCAACAAAAAACTGTGGATTCCTCCTTTCACCACGTCGCCTTCTAACCCTGGCACGACCATCGTGCATGCCTAAACAAAATCGAGACTCGTCGCTAAAGACATACTGTTCCATTCCTGATCCCAGAGTGACCGTTGTCTGCACCACTCAAGGCGATTACGTCAGTGTTCTCGAGTTAAAGGGAGGACCCAGTGTGGCCGGTATGAAAACAAGCCAAAACTTCTCATTCGTCGGTAAACACTTCGCATGCCAATAGGTCTTCCGTGTTCTGCAAACCATTCATTTGCAATGGACCTGGTAGTGGAGAAACGGTCCCTTAAGGCCAATAATCTTAGGCGGCGATCTTCACGGTCTGTTGTTCTACGGCGGCGTCCAGTGCCCCTTGCTCTTTGCGTACGGCCTTCTCGAAGCCATGCCTGACAACACCTAACAGTCTACACTTCTTTGCACTCTAACTGCAATTGCCCGAAAAGAAAGTCCAGCTTCTCGAAGTCCTACTATACGGCCCCTATCAAACTCACTAAGTTGACGAAATCGTACAGGTCTCCGTACTCTAGGCATCGTAACCGATCGTAAAGGATGTCAAGAACCAAAATCCGCCAACGTTGATTCTTTACTGCGGCTGAAATATTCATTTTTAGAGCGTTAGTGAATTAAAAAAAAGCAGTATAAAAACCGGAATGTCCAACTGATAAGGCTGAAAATTTTTTCACTTGTTATTTACAGTAAGATAAATACATTCACCAACTTTTATTAAAATAAAACCATTTAAACTGGGTGTTCGGATTTATATGTCACTTAGTATACGTGGTAACACAAACATGCATTTTTTCTGGTGGAAAGCCCTACATTTTATTACAGGTGATTGCAAACGAAGCAATTTAATATGACAGACTATAAAGGTTTATTTTCAAATTGTTGAAAATATTGGACAATTTATCGAAAAAAAAAACACTCAACTTTGCCAACTCATACCTCCGCAAATATTATTGCTATAGTACTAAATTTTTCGTCAAAAGATGTTATGATCCCATATTTGTTCCTATCTACTAATTTTTTCAGTTTCTTGGATAGTTGATACAGTGCCGATAAGGCGCAATGAGTTATTTCTAAAAAATTCGAATGGAACCTGTATATTTTCACATCTTTTGAATCTATTTTACAAGCTTTTCTCTGATATAAAGTTTATGGCAGTTTGTATGTACGATTGGCTTTTGAATTACTAAAACACAGGGACACGTGGACTTTTCTACTTTATTGCTGGGTAGACTTTCTGTCTACTGTAAATTTAATTGAAATGAGCTAATGTGCTGTGTAATGTGAGGAATATTGATGATAAAAGTTCAATTTTCTAGTAGTAAGCTAATTGAAGTCTTCGATCGCCACTCTCCTATAAGGACGGTACGCGTAAGTAAGTCGAGAGCGCCGTGGTTGTCATATCCATTAAGACAGCTTCTAAAGACAAAAAGGAGTACATATTATGAATAAAGATAGACAGTACTGTAGAAAGATTGTGGATTTTCAAGGAACTTGGAAACTTTGCACTGTCGTGCATTAGACAAGAAAAATGGGCATACCTTGCTCACTTGGAAAAAGGGCGAGTTCTGAAGAAATGGTAATATGGATTGAAACATTTAAAAGCACAGACTTCTGATGAACCATGTATTCCAAACTATCTTGTAGACAAACTATCTTGTAGATTCGTTTCTTGATTACTTCATGTCAGTTTTTGATTCCACAAACGCTCCTGATCACGTTTTAAGGCATTATAATAAATTTTCTTCCAGGCTTCTAGAGCCTTATGAAATAGCTGTAATAATTTCTGGTTTTAAGTTGGTTGCGAAAGGTACTGATGGGTTGAGCTTATCTATGACTAAGCTTAGTCTGCGTGTTACTATTACTACATCACCCACCTTGTTAATAGTTGCTTTGAAAGCCATTATTTCCTTGAATCGTGGAAGCGAGCAATTGCCATTTGAATCGAAAGTAGTTAAAACAATTAATGCAGTACAGAAACATATCATCGCATCTAATCAGTCTGCTTTTAGAAAATCTTCCAGTACTACGGCTTCCTTCCTTAACTTAGTTGATAATATTATTAGAGCACTTGATAAAAGAATGAGCGTAGCAGTTAGTCAATAATCGATTACTCCAAGGCATTTGACATAGTAAGTCACGAGTTGTTAATACTGAAGTTGAAGTATTATGGCATAGATCATAGACCCAATTACATTGATACTCGTAGCAATAGATCCAGTTTTCTAGAAATTCAATCTCAGGGGTCTGTTCTGGGTCTCTTGTTGCTTTTTATATATGTTGCGAATCTTCATAAGACTGAGTTTCTGTGAGCTCCAGTCTTTCGCGGACGATGCCCAACTTGTTCACTATTTTGATACTGATGATACAGGTGTCAATAAACCATGGTATTCAAAAAGTGTATGAATTTTCGAATAACCACAACCTGTCAATAAATCCTAGGAAATCCAGCCTTTTATATTTTTGTTCAAATCGTAAAAGAGAAGGCAAAAGTCAACTAGCTGTTAAAATTGGATCTGAAAAGACGACTGTACCGTGTTGATGAGGCTCAAATTCTTGGCGAAATAATGGATTTCAAACTTAGATTCACCGGTCATGACAAGAACCTTTTAACAAAAATATAAATATAATATAAATAATAAAGCAATTTTCAATTTTAAACTAAGGATGAAATTGTGCTCATCTTTGGTTATGCCCATTTTCAACTACTGTGTTATTTTATATTATCCGTGTCTTGATGTTATTCCTGGAAATCGGATTCAAATTATGCAAAATAATGCCATGTTTCTAGTAGTCTTATAAAATTAAACTGGCTGAAAACAAAAAATATTGTCAAATATTATTACCTTGTATTCATTCTTAAACTAATATGTACTTATGTCCAAACCTGCGTACTTAAGAGAAAAGCTGATTTTTAGGTGTAATATACTTAATAGACATATTAGATTTCCAAAGACGATAACTACTCTTATTCACTCTACAGCTTTATGTCAGGGTTCCTTCACGTGCAGTGCTGCAGTTTGATACAATGCTTTGAGTCCTGAATTTAAAAACATGTCCCTAAATATCTTCAAGGGAGCTGCAAAATCTCAAATCAGCTGGGATCCATAGTTTAAACATGCTGCTCTTGTCTTGTCTTTGTCTTTTTTCTTTTCTTTCTGTGTATATAGTAAACTTTTGCGCAACATATATATTTTTTTTTGTTTTCATATCTGCTACCTTACAACTTTTGTTTTTTTTTTTTGCATGGGTGGCTAAGTGTAAAAGTAGTGTGTGGCTAAACTTCGTCACCATTTGTAACTCTTTTTTTCTGTATTGAATTGTACAGATTGAATAAAGACGATTATTATTATTAAAATATTTAGGATGTGCTGTAGAACCAACGATCAGTTTCTTCGGTAGCAATTCGA